GCGGCGGCGGCGGCGGGCTGGTCGCGGTTCTCGGCCGGCCCGGGCCGCGCGCGGAGGGCGGACGGAGCGTGCGCGGGGCGGCGGCGCTCACACCATGGCGCGGGGCGGCCGTCAGGCCCCCGGGCGTCGCCCGCCGCCTCAGGCCCCGGCGCCCGCGCCCCGCGCCGCGCGCCTGGAGGACGGGCCCGGAGCGTGGGGCCGCGGCGCCGCCGAGAGTTGAGCGAGTGAGCGCGAGGCAGCGAGACAAAGATAACCCGGGAGGCGGGGGCGGAGGCGGGGGGGGAGGGGGGGAGGGAGGGGGCGGCGGCGGCGGCGGTGAGGGAGGAGGAGAAACGGGACACCGAAAATATATTCTGAGGAGAGAGAAAACAGCTCCCCCTCTCCTTCCCCGGCAGGAAAAACGAGCGGAAACGCACTCCCAGCCCGAGCCCCGCTGGGGAGGGCGCGGGGCGAGCCGCCCGCGCGGCGTGAATATTCAGCAGGGGTGGGGCCCGAACAATGGCCGGCCGGCGGGCAGCGCACACAGTGGCCGGGACGCGGCGGGCGGCCGGCGGGGCGCTCGCGGAAAGGGCTAGAGTAGGGATGAGACGGAGCGGGACGTCCCCGGTGAGGTGCCGAGGGTGAGGAAACGCCCCATCTCGCACTAACAATAAAGGGAGCAGAAGTGACCTGGACCCTGGCCGCAAACGCACGGGGGCGGAGGGACCCTTGTCTCCGGGAGGGGCTCCATCGCGCCCCGCCGGCCGGCCGGCCGCGCCCGGGCTCTAAAGGGACGCGGAGGGGGTGTAGCCACCCCCAGCGACAAGGGGCCTCCCTTTCCCCTCACCCCCCGCGTATCCCATCCCTTTCCCCCACCATCAGATTCTATACCCCTAAGACCCTCATTTCCGGTTTCCCTACACGGTTTTCTTTTCCTCTCTGTCTTGCAGGCTACGTTTGTGACAGGCTTGTAGGTGCGGAATTCGTTGAGCATCACCTGGCCGCCGGGTCCCAAGGCTTTCGGTGGAAACAGTACCCAAAACAGCGCTCTCTTCCTTACCTCCCTCGGTAGGTGAGCACTGTGTTTGGAGCCCTAAGTGCTAACCCCCCGTTCTGTGCCTGGAGATCGTTAAGGATCGATGAACGGGCTTCTGCCGGCAACTTTGGAAGCTTGTCGGTAGTTAGGTAATTTGATCCTGTTAAAAGGAATATATTGTCTGTGCACAACAGTCATTTTTATCACATCCCTCCACTGTACAAAAACTTTCAATGGCTCCCTATTACCTCACAGCAGGTTTTCAAACCGAAGTGCATCAGAATCACCAGGAAGGATTGTAAAAGCACTGATTGCTGACCCCACCTCCAGAGTTCAGCAGGTCTGGGGATAGGCCTGAGAATATGAATTTCTAACAAGTTGTCAGATGATGCTAACGTTGCTGTTACAGGGATCACACTTGGGGAACAAGAGCCTTACAGGATAAAAATCTAAGGCCCTTCACAATTAGGCTTCACAAACATCACCGTCATCATCATCTACCAGTTCTTGCTTTATGTACAGTACCCAATTTAACCTGTCCTGTAGCCCTTGTGTATTAGTATCCACATTTTAAGGATAAGGAAACCAAAGAACTGAAAGATAAGAAATGTGCCTAAATTTCTTAAAAGCACAGCCTGGAAGTAGAGCAGGGATTCTCACTAGGTCAGCCTACTCTGAAAATCCAGGATTCTGATTCAGCCAAGTTAATCTTTTACCCAGAATATGTTTAGCGCACTCCTGCCTCTCAACGGTTTGGTTTCCAAGATTTTCAACTATGAGAATCCCTTGTAAGGGACTCCTGGAATCCTTTGATTAGGAAAATCATGGTAACCAACATGTTGCTCTAAATTTAGTAGTACTTTTAAATGATTTTGTTTTTTAATGTATTCACAGCAATGGCATTATCTGTGTGTAAATAATTATTTACTCAGAGAGCTAGGTTGGTAAGCATGTGAAATTTCAGACCATATTACTACTAATAGTATTTTAATAGTATTTATTATTAATAATAGATAACACATATTCCGTCCCAAAAATGTGCTAAGTCCTTTATGTACATTATCTCATTATTCTTCACATTAACCCCGAATGGTAGGTACTTTTATTTTTCCCACTTTACACATTAAGAAACCAATGTTTAAAGAAGTTAATTGACTTGCTTGGTGTGCACAGCTGAACCCAATGCAGAAATGCAGCCCCTTCCGCCCCCCCCCCCCCCCCCCAAGCCAACCTCCCTCTACAGGTTCACTCATGATATTGAGGCCCAACTCAGACCACTGCCTTCTTCTTTGCCTGGCCAGATTCTCCATCACCTCAAACTCAACTCAGAAACCAACTCTTCTTTTTCCTACAAGCTTTCTCTGAATCTCTCCTAAACTGCTATTGCCCATGTTATCATTGTGACAGTTACTTCTCATTTTCAATTCAGGACCTTTTCTTGAAGTGCCTTACAGAGCACAAGACACAGACTTAGCCATTGCCCAAGATATAAGGAAGATGAAGCCAGCTACTCTCAAAGAACTTACAATTTGATAATGGGTCTAAGACAGTTTCACAAGTATCTATAGTTAAAGGCAGAACATTATAAATTCTGGCTGTATAGAAAGAACATTAAACAGGTCTAGTGGAAAGTATGCTAGATTTGAGGCAAAACGGAACTAGGTTTGAACCTAGTTCTATCAGTTGTGCAACCTTGAACATGTTTAAATTCTGAGCCTCTGTTTCGTCTTCTGTTTACGAGATGAAGATCAGAGGTTAGAAGAGCCATGAAGGGGCCATCTCAAGAGCACAGGCCAAAGGAATAAGGCCTGGAGAAAGGAGATACAAGGTCTTGGGCTAGTAGACTCTCTTAAGACTTGGCATCTGATGGGATGCCAGAGTCAGTGTAGACAAGGGGGTAAAAGATTTGCTTGTGGCCCAGAGCTTTGTTCACACTTGGGAGGATACTGTCAGGCACAGAGGAAAGGATAGGAGTTGTTGAGTGGTGGTGACAAAGGAAGGTTTAGTTTTGGACTCTGTGGGAAGTTAGTTATCTTTTCACGCAGAAGCAGTGACACCCGCCCAGCTTGTAACTCCACTTGAGATCCAAGGGTAAGGACCATTTTCTCAATCAGCAGCCCTATGTTAGCCCAGGCTGCCATAATAAAATCCCATAGACTGTGTGGCTTCAATAACAGAGATTTATTTTCCCGTAGTTCTGGAGGCTAGAAATCCAAGATCAGTGTTCCAGCTGATTTGGTTTCTGGTGAGAGCTGTCTCCCTGTCTTGCAGATAGCCACATTTTCACTATTGTCCTCACATGGGTTTTTCTCAGTGCTAGTACCCGGGGTGGGGGGGGGGGATGGGGGAAGCCATCTGGTGTCTCATCTTCTAAGGACACCTACCCTATTCTATCAGGGCCTCACCTTTATGACCTTATGAATTTAAACTTAATTATTTCCTTAGAGACCCCATCTCCAGATACAGCCATGCTGAGGCTTAGGGTTTCAATGTAAGGGGGACACAAACATTTAGTCCATAACAAGCCATGTGCAATACATAATATCAGGAAGTAGACTTAAGTCATGGCCCTTGTCCTTAAGAATCTATCTGAGAACACAAACCCACCCAAAAAGATAATCAAGATAATAATTTGGAAAATAGATGCTACTTTGGCATTTTAGGCTGGAGGAAAAGATAGCTTGCTTAGACAAAGAATGTGAAGTTGAAAATGAGGAAACTGGCCACACTGGGCCAGAGGACTCATTTCAGAGAACCCCGAGAGATAAATCTAGACTGGTTAGGTGGGACCGGGAGACCCAGCTGAGGCATGCGTGAGGTGGAGTCAAAAACAGAAGCCAAATTATCAGTCAAGTCAAGGAAGGAGCAGCCTAGCCTTGGCTTCCAAGAGCCCCAGTGGCAGGTTAGATGCTTATGTGTTTAGCTGGCTGTGGGATATAAGTGTGCATCTTCCCAGGGTACAATGGGCCAGTGGGCAATTATCTCACCCAGTCACAGAAATCCCGAGGGGAGCTCAATTATGCAAGTTGTCAATGACAACCACTGTACGTCACTTTACTTATTTCCTAGTTTTTCCTTTGTTGCAAAAATATTGGTGGCAATTTTTAACCTCAGTATGAGGAAGGGCAAGGAGGGCAGCAGATCTGTGACACTGGACTGCATGAATATAACTTAAGAGCTCAGGGTTAGTGAGGACTTAGGACGCCTGAAAATAAATGTTGGAAGTAGGGAGGTGAGCAGGGGGAATTGAGTCAAGCAAAGGAAGCAATGGTGGAATGTGTTCAGGAAAATCTGAGAGAGGGGAAAGCCTGGCTTAGGGGTCAGAGATCTGAGTTCCTCTTCTCTGATGGACAAGTTGTTGAGCAAATGCTCACCCTCTCTGCCCCTCAGTGTTCTAACATGTGAGATTAGAGGGTTGGATGGAAATGACTGAAAGATCCTCTTAGGACCTTAGAGACTCTCATTTATATAACCCAGGCCTCAGCCCTACATCTGCTCATACCTCTTAGCCAGAGTGGAAAGGGGTTGATATGAGCAACGGAAGTTCATGGAACATGTGGATACTTGTAGATTTGGCAGCAAAGCTCAGTCATTTAAAAGCCATCTTTGAGCATTGGTAGAGAGAATAAGAATCTTTTTTGACTGGCATTATCAGTTGAATTAAAAGGAAGCAAGTACTCTAGTGCACAACAGGCTGGAAGGCGAGGGATGCAGAAGCAGATCAAATGGGCAACAAAAGAAGAAGCAGACCAGAAGCAAGACAAACATCCTACCCTAGCTACCAGGGCTATCAATGCTGTCACTTCTGTGATGAGGAAGTCGTCTTAGCTCAGACCTCCCAAAAGGAGATCCTGACACAAAGATTTGGTGCAGGTAGTTTATTTAAGAGATGATTGCAGGAAGCCCAAGTGAAAGAGAAGGAAAAGTGAAACATGGAGATGAGCCAATGAGGAGTGTGTTAATGAGCAGGTTTTCACCCTGGGCAACTGGGCTAGATGTCCCTAGCTAGCTAGAAAAAGAAAATGTAGATTCCTCTTACTTTATGTGTTCATGGAAAAGTTTCTGGTAAACATATTTTTTAAAAAATGGAACAATATTTTAAACGCAGAGGAACTTGCTTTTTATAGAACACCTATTTGAAATGTTTTATGAAGGGGATTACTGTCTCTCAACTTATCCTTTTTGTAAATTTGTATTTTGCATGTAAGGATTGCTTCAAACAAGCTCCACTGTGAAAAGTCCTTTACCTACAAAATCCTCAAGGGACCTCAAAAATGAGGTCAGAGATAGCCCTAGCTTTAGAAATCAAGATGCAAGCCATAGGAAGTCGGGTGGGGACGTTAAATAGTTGTCAAGTATGTCTGGTTTTGATAGATGGTTGAGTGAGTGGAATCAGGCTCTGCCAACAAAAGGCCAAGGTAGGCCTGCTAGCTAAAGAGATAACAGACTTTTACTGATCACATATTTGTGTCCTAAGTCTCTATACAGCGAAATCTCAGGAAGTGACTAGATCAATGGGCCTCTCTAATGCTCAGCCATTTAATATCTCACAACTGAAATAGGATCATGAGTTTGAATATGATGCATCAGATCCTGGCCAATATGCATCAGAACCTCCACTGAAGAGGAGTTCAATCATAATCAAGTTTATCCCTTTAAAAATGAATGAACCACAAGTCTCCATTGGTGATATGCAAGTTGGCCAGTGCTATTGATTTGCAGTTCTCAGTTGATTATAGTGATTCCACTCTCAAAATCTTCTAAAATATGCTCTATAATAAAAGGTTAAGTGGTGACCTACCAATGATAAACTATGAACTGTAAATGCCATATTTATGAATTACAAAATTTGAGGCCTTTCCTATTCTTTTGAATAAATATAATTATCATCTTTATCTTCTTATCTGTGTATATTCTATATTTAGTGGCCAACTAACTCAGGAAATATCATCAGGACCAGATCAAGAGGCCAGCCATGACTGACATGGATCACTTGGATTTCTCCTAATCCTTAGCTACAGGCAGATCCGTGAGGTTAGTTGGGAGCGCGGACCCTGGTGTTGGGGAGAGGACGAGCTGGACAAGAATGTGTATCTAGATCAGCATAAAGTGTTTATCGCTCCTAGACATGCCACTCAGAGTCACAAAAAGGAAAGACCACTTATTCTCACAGAATCGCATCTTTTATTGCATTTGAACTTACCATTATTAGCTGCCTACCTGTATTCAGATTTATAATAGTACTTGTGGAGAAGAGTTACACAAAAATGATTTTTAGAATTCACAACTTAGCTTTTCAGTTATATAGAGAGGAGAAAATGCGGAGGAAGTGGAGAGCCAATAGATGGCAAGAGGAATTGAAGAGGGAATGCTCTGGATATGGCAACAACATAAACCAACTTATAAATGTCACCACCCATTTTGAAATTTCCAGGAACTGGGAACAAGACAGTCATTCAGAAGAGAGAACTAGGCCTAGGAAAAATTGAAAAGCTATTTTTCATAACTTAATTCTTTACACACAACAGACCTTAAGAAACTCCCTTTCTGTATAGCCATTTTACACATGGAGTGGATGAAGAACTAGACGATGTGTTCTCTTTTACAAAAGGTGTTTCCCTAAGCCCTGGGGTTTCCTGGAGGCAGTTCAGGGGCTGCCTGGATCCCAAGGGACGGTTAGGGAATTGGTAATAGGACTGCTGAGCTTGTTGCCTGGCCCTCCCTGTCATCACACGGGTTCTGCTTTTCTATGTTTTATAAATGGGGAATATGAGTAACAGTTTATGAAGATAAGGTTTCCATGGCTGAGAAAAGTTTGCAAATCACAAGCTAAGGTATATCTAGAACCAAGATTTCTATGATCACATGACACAGATATCTGTTAGGTAGATTTATGCTGAGCTCAAAACAAAGCAGCACTTAAGGCATTTTTAAATCATGGCCATGAACTGAGTGGAAATGATGCAGGAGTGGGAATCAGGAAACCAGATTCTGGTTCTACCACAGTCTATACTGTCACAGCCTGGTGTCATGAGACCAAGTAGTCACTAACCAGTTCACTAATTATCAAATGCTTCACTCTCATACTACCTCTTATACATAGATCTGAGAATTCCTGTCTTAAGTATGATCATGATCTATTAGGGTCTACTTGATGGCCTGTTTTTTTACTAAATAACCTACCTCCAATTTCTCATGCAGCACAATGTAGAGAGAATTGATGAGATGATTTTTAATTTCTTAAGAGTCAGATCCAATAGAATGACTGAAAAAATGAAAACATTAGAATAATAAAATAGAGTTGCCCAAAAATAATCTGGGCAACACTGCTTATATTGACAAATTTCAAGGATGTTTACCAAAAGTTTGTAGTAATATAGAAATGTATGTTATTGCGCTAATTGAAAATATCACTATAAGTTGGTATGAGATTATAGTCATAGCTGCACAAAAGTTAAAAACTATTTAAAGGAAAAATTGGGAGGAAATACATCAAATTTTAGTACTCTTTGGCTGGCAAAACTGTGAATGATATTTTTTCCTTCTTCCAAGACATGTTCTACAAATTCTCTCTACAAACATACCTTATTTTAGGAATTAAAAAATATAAACTGACATTGTAAAAGAAAATGAAATAAAGTGATTGGATTAGTTTCCTAGGGCTGCCCTAACAAAGTACCATAAGCTGGGTGGCTTAAAACAACAGAAATGTATTGTCTCACAATCTGGAGGCCAGAAATCTGAAGTCAAGGTGTTGGTAGGCAACGCTCCCTCTGAAACCTGTAGGAGAGTCAGTCCTTCCCTGCCTCTTCCTGACTTCTGGTAGTTTAATGGCAATTTTTGGCATTCCTTGGCTCACAGTTGCATAGCTCCAATCACATGGCGTTTCCTTTGTATCTTCACATGGCCATCTTCTCATAAGGACTCCAGTCATATTGGATTAAGGGTCCACCTACTCCAGTATGACTGTATCTTAACTAATTATATCTTCAACAACCCTGCTTCCACATAAGGACACATTCTGAGGTACTGGGGTTTAGGGATTCAGCATGTCTTTCTTTGGGAGGACACAATTCAACCTATAACAGTAATTTAACCATTCTGATGTTTCTTATAGAAGTTAAAGACCATTATTCTTTCTGACCCTAATTTGGTGGTTTCCATTTTAGCACATGGATAGTTTAGAAAAGTGGTGGTTTTGATAGTTTTTACTATGACTTCTTCACCTGCTCTCTTGCCATCCCTCTCCTTATCTAACATGTATTTATTAGGCACACACTGAGTTCGTAGCACTGTGTAAAACCCATAAAATTTAAAAATCACACAAAACTTCCTTCTAACCATTAGCTACAAGTTGCTTTCATTTACACTGTAATTTTCAGATAGACTGATGTTATAATAAATGACTTCAGCTTGCAAATCACCATAAAGAATTATCCTAAGTTAGACTGTAAACAAATTTCTTAGACCTCTTTACAAATATATTACAGACAGAGAAAAAAAAAAAAACAGGAAAAAACTAAAGAGGAAATGGTCCAAATAGAAATTAATTTTGCTTGTTGGAAAGCCAAAAGGAATATTTTTCGGCATAGAGTTATCCCCAGTTTGGTTGGGATATTTGTAAATAAGCTAAATGTTTTTAAGTAGTGTCTTACTGGCTTTGAACTATTCTTTGTGACTTTCCCCCACTGTGTTGCTAGAAATAGCTTTTTATTTTTATTTTTATTTTTTTTTTTAATTGTACTATGTTATGTTAGTCACCATACAATACATCATTAGTTTTTGATGTGGTGATCCACGATCCATTGTTTTCGTATAACACCCAGTGCTCCATGCAGTACGTGCCCTCCTTAATACCCATCACCAGGCTAACCAATCCCCCCCCCCCCTCCCCTCTAGAACCCTCAGTTTGTTTCTCAGAGTCCATAGTCTCTCATGGTTCATCTCTCCCTCCGATTCCCCCCCCATTTTTCCCTTCCTTCTCCTAGTGTCCTCCGTGCTGTTCCTTATGTTCCACAAATAAGTGAAACCATATGATAATTGACTTTCTCTGCTTGACTTATTTCACTTAGCATAATCTCCTCCAGTCCCATCCATGTTGAGGTAAAAGTTGGGTATTCATCCTTTCTGATGGCTGAGTAATATTCCATTGTATATATGGACCACATCTTCTTTATCCATTCATCTGTTGAAGGGCATCTCGGCTCTTTCCACAGTTTGGCTATTGTGGACATTGCCACTATGAACATTGGGGTGCATATAGCCCTTCTTTTCACTACATCTGTGTCTTTGGGGTAAATACCCAGGAGTGCAATTGCTGGGTCATAGGGTAGCTCTATTTTTAAATTTTTGAGGAACCTCCACACTGTTTTCCAAAGTGGCTGTACCAACTTGCATTCCCACCAACAGTGTAAGAGGGTTCCCCTTTCTCCACAACCTCTCCAACATTTGTTGTTTCTTTCCTTGTCCATTTTTGCCATTCTAACTGGTGTAAGGTGGTATCTCAATGTGGTTTTGATTTGAATTTCCCTAATGGCTAATGATGAACATTTTTTCATGTGTCTGTTAGCCATTTGTATGTCTTCTTCAGAGAAGTGTCTTTTCATATCTTCTGCCCACTTTTTGACTTGATTATTTGTTTTTTGGGTGTTGAGTTTGAGAAGTTCTTTATAGATCTTGGATACCAGCCCTTTATCTGTAGTGTCATTTGCAAATATCTTCTCCCATTCTGTGGGTTGCCTCTTCGTTTTGTTGACTGTTTCCTTTGCTGTGCAGAAGCTTTTTATCTTGATGAAGTCCCAAAAGTTCATTTTTGCTTTTGTTTCACTAGCTTTTGGAGAGGCTTCTTTTTTTTTAATTGAAATTTAAGCACGTTTATTTAATTTTTTGAAAAGATGCTGTCTTTTGCTAAGTTTGACAGAATTCCTTGACATAATACTGTACCTAAGGGAATATATGGTGGCATGGATAAAAAAAGGATGACTTTCTTTATATTTTCTAAATATGATTATATTGCTGCTGCATGCCTTTGGAAGCAAAAATATTTATTTCCCTTGTTACATCCATGCATTTATTTTAATGAGTATTTATGAGACTCAATGAGATATTCAAATCAGCATGTGTATTCCATTGTGCAGTTATTCCCTTTTATTTCCAATTTCTGGTTAGGAATGCTTTGTTTGTGTCTAAAAAGCTAAGGAAATTAAATGCAAGGCTCTGTCAATACAATGCAACTTTACTGTGTACAAGTCAGGAAATTAGAATATGTCGTTCCTCCAGCAGCTGGTATTGGGCTACTCTGAACAATTTATGCCAGAAAAGTTAAAGTGGGGCCCTTTTTTCTCATGAAGATTTTATCAGGATACAAAAGAATATCGCTTCTCCGCACTGAGTGCACAGGACTCTTGGCAGGGCTGACCCAGCCAGATGGGAAGAAGGTGCCCTCCAGCTCTGGCCTCTGGGTCCTCAACCTTTTCCCCTCCCAACATCCCTTCTGTACTCTGCAAGAAGGCAGCCACAAATCAGACTGACCCACTGCCTGTGCTGATGTCACAGGGGGAGAGTGCGGCAGAATGCAGGGCTCTCCTGCTGCTGCTACTTTCTGGGTGCTCACCATGTGCCAGGCACTATACTTCAGCACTTTATCTGTATTATTTAAGCCTTGCATGACCCTGTGTAGCAAGTACTTTTGTTGTCCCCTTGTCATCAACGAGAAAACTAAAACGCAGAAACGTTAAGTAATTTGGCCGTGATTGCACCTTTAGAAAGTAGCAAATCCATGATTAAACACCAGATTCACGTGGACAACTCATGCTTTTGACCAGTAAATTTTAGGTAACTTAAGTTTTGGAAGATCTAATTCTCTAATGCAAAAGAGGGATTTTTAAAAATTACATTCTTTTGATTATAAATATACATATATTCATTGAAGAAATACAGAGAAAAAATACAAATTCACCTATAATCCTTACCAACAATAATTAAAATATATGTACTTTGTTTTCATAGGCATGTGTGTGGGTGTGCGC